TGGCTGTTACCTTGCAATAAAATTACCCCTTTCGTGGCGGGCTCGTGAAATTTTGGGAAATAGTCGCAAATTTCACTAGTATAACAATACGTGCGGTAACTCTGAGATTTCTTAACATATCCTCTTAAAAACTGGTAAGATTTCGTTAAAGATCATAAGTATCTTGAACACAAATAATGACTGTTTTATAGTTAAGTGTTTTTACTAGAAATGTTATTTTCCTATTATAGTTACTCGCATTCAAACTATTAACAACCTTCATCTCTATTTAATACTACATGATCTTTTTTGTGTTTGGCGAATATTTCTGCAAGAATGTGGAATTGATCTCCTTTAAATGGTTTAGTGTGAATGTATGAAAAATAACATACAGGTCAATGACCTACTAACAAGCTGAAAATAATTTGCCAATTGTCTTGTAATTCACTCCTGAGGATGACGTTGTAACGTCGAAACATATAGTCAACTTTTTCAAGGCCATAGATAGGCCTAAATAAAATTGTGTACCAGTTTAATGTTGAATATTATTTATGATTTTAATACTATAGTCAGTTTCATGTACTTTGTGACGTAGACTCGGCATCAATTTCCAAATAACTGTTGTTAGTTTATACTGTAAAATGAGAAACTAAAGGAAATACACTTTGATGTACAACTATCATAAAATGTGCTGACCAAAATAGAGTAAGCATGGTAATTTTTTTTTTAATCTAGGGATCTATCAAAGTGGGCGAGTTATGGAGGACATCTGGATTACAGTGGAAAGATTTGCTCAAACCAGGAGAGAATGTTGATGAATTTATCCAAACCAATGTAAGTATTGTAGTGCAGATAAAGAAATCCATTAGTAAAGCAGTGTTTATAGAAAGGTGTGTCCTTGTACGTGTGTTGTTTTGATAGTATGAATTAAATAAATAATCAGTTGTCAAATCTGAATGGAGATTATATAGATTATCTGCTTCTAAACCTGAATAGACATCCAGTATGAATTATTGAAATAATATCTTTCTAAATCTAGTGTGAATTATTATAGTGAAGAAATCCTTTAGTTTGTTATTGACTGCATGAGATATGCTTTCCCGTAACAATGACCAGAGATCGTGATCATTCTGGTGAGAAACATTAACTGTTTCCAAGCTTATAGATAAGAATATGCAAGTTTTTTGATTGGTTTAAGACCCCCGTTAAATATTAACAGAATTTATAGATTTTGCGAACAAGTTTGTTATAAATGTCAATACTTCTCGAAACCTGAATAATTTGTGTAGTATTGCAATTTCTTTTGTAGTTATTAATAATTAAAAGTATTTTTGAAATAGTGAACAAGAATAATGTATTTGTAAATAGTTTAGTTTAATCATATGTGTATAAATATGCACGCACACACATTTCTTATTTCAGTAAAAATGTGTGTGTTTGAGGTTGTACAGCATACAAGCCAGATGATGGTACACTCAAATCTTTTGCTTTACACCGTTTGAAGTTTCACATTAAAAAACCTGAGTATGGGTAATTGTTATATCTTGCTTAGCACGTGAAATAATGTGATTTCATATTTATTTTTAGAAACTAGAATTTACTCTGAATGACAGTGAGCCACAGCCTGACACCTCACTCTCCAATGAAGCTATAAAGAAAGAATTGAACTTTCTTCTACAGAAAAAAAAAGCTAATAATGAGGAAATCTTGGACTGGATTGAGGTAAGATGTTATGGGGTTGAGGGTTCTAAAAACATTGAGAGCAAAAAAAAATCACATATGAATGTTATTAAACATGTAATAATAATTTAAATGTGAAATTTTGATATATCTCAAGTAGTTGTATGTTAAAACACAACTTTGCACATAATTGTCCAACTGTTGAAATAAATGTTTCATTGATGTTTTCCTGGATTTCACTTAATAGGCTCACATCGGTGAGAAGAGAAGCAAAGACTCTCAGTTTATTCGTGTGTTAGTCACCACTCTCGTAGAAAGTGCCATTGAAGGTTTGTACAGAAGTACATTTTATACACATTTTGGAGTCTCGATCAGTTGTTTTGTTATTTAAATAAAAATGGTTACTCTAGAAAATTAATTTAAATAATGTTTGGCCCAGCAAATCTTTTGTTTGACTCACAATCTGTGGGTTGCGGGTTTGAATTCCTGTCACACCAAACATGCTCGCCCTTTCAGCCGTGGGGCGTTATAATGTGATGGTCAATCCCACTAATCGTTGGTAAAAAAGTGGGTGGTGATGACAAGCTGCATTCCCTCTAGTCTTACACTGCTAAATTAGGGATGGCTAGTGCAGATAGCCCTCGTGTAGCTTTGCGCAAAATTCAAAACAAACAATACAGTTTTGTCAATGTTGAGCATTACACAAAATTCATGCTTTGGTCATGCTATTTTCAGATTGACACTTTCAAATATTAAAAGTTGCAAGTTACTTAATATGTCCAACAGTTATTCACATAATGTGAATTATTTGACCATTTTTGATATGTAGATATCTCCCAAATTCTCATTGGGAAGCTGGTTTAGAGAAGAGGTAACTGTCATATAAGTTTAAAAAAAGAAGGGAAAAGTTTAATAAAAGATTGATGATATGGATCGGTTAGTTTCTTCAGATGAAAAAATATACGTAAAGTAAATTACTTATTTAAATATATTTAATGTTTTTTTTTTATTTAATATTTTGTAACTTTTCAACTGTTCTATTTGATGCATTGTGTTGTCATTGTCATGCAAGTCCAATTTTATGGATTCAGAGTAATGTGACAAAGTTACCATTTCTAATTGAATGATGTGTACATGATTTTGAAAGAACTGTTGAGTAACAAATTCTGTGAACAATTCCGTATAAAACACAAATGATAAGAAACTCAACTTTCGTGGTTATGACTTGACAATGACCATTTTTCTTCTCTTAATAACTGTATAAATGTTAGTAGAAAAATATCTTAATGTTGTTACTTTGCATTTAGAAAACCAGAACAGGTATGAATTGAATAAGAAGGTTGTGGCTGCAAGAACACCCATTTTCCAACGCTACTTAGACCACAAAGAACTCCTTGAACTCGAAGCACTCTATGCTTTACAACATCTGGTACACAGATTAGAACACCCAAAAGGTGTGTAGTCCATAAGATGTGTATGTTAACCATCATGAGTCAGTATTGTCATTTTAGGTGTATGTGTAGTCCATAAGATGTGTATGTTAACCGTCATGAGTCGCTAGTGTCATTTTAGGTGTAAGTGTAGTCCATAAGATGCGTATGTTAACCGTCATGAGTCGCTAGTGTCATTTTAGGTGTAAGTGTAGTCCATAAGATGCGTATATTAACCATCATGAGTCAGTATTGTCATTTTAGGTGTATGTGTAGTCCATAAGATGTGTATGTTAACCATCATGAGTCGCTATTGTCATTTTAGGTGTATGTGTAGTCCATAAGATGCGTATGTTAACCATCATGAGTCACTATTGTCATTTTAGGTGTATGTTTTGAATGGTGAGGCATTGGAAGCCAATAGATTTAGTATTTGTGATTAAAAATATCAAAAATATAACACTTTCTTAACATCAGCTACCATGTTACCATGAAAAGGTGGCCCTAATTTGGTGCATCTTTTTGAAATTTTTTCATCTAGAGTTCAGAAAAATGTTTGATAATTTTAAATGAATTTAGTGAAAACTAGTTTTAGGGAACTAATTATAAGTACAAGATATAATATTGTTTTTAATGAACTTAATGTACACTTGGGAGTTGTAAGAATATATTACAAAACGTTTTTCCAAACTAAAACATTTTATTTTAGAAAAGATTTTGCCATGTCAGCTTTATTGACATAGATGACTTTGTTACGGTGAAGTCCTAAATAGAACTGATAGTTAGGCTTAAAACATAAAATGAAGTTAACCTACATACAAGAGCACAACAGCCATAACTTAATAGTACTAGTGTCAATTCAGCAACTATCCAACTTTTTTTTTTTTTTTGCATTTTACATGCAAGCAATTGAAAAATTTGTCAGACCTGTTTTTCACATATTTAGGCTAAAAATAACTTTTAGATTTAAAAAAAGTAATATGCAACTTTTTTTGGCTTAAACTATAAAGAAATAAATTCATTAATTGTAACCACACTTTATACAAAATTTCTTATGTTTTTATGCAAGAAAAAAATATTGGTAGTTTTTACTAGTCTTAAAACTGAAAGTCATTGATAGATGGTCTGTAATTGTTACTGTATAAGAATCTTTCCTCCTGCAATTTCTTGATGGGAGATTTGATGTTTGCCTTTTTTCTTCTCTCTCTCTAGGACTTTTAAGAGAGATATTTGATGTAATGTATGATGAAGATTTAATATCAGACGACGCCTTTACTCAGTGGCAGAAGAGTGATGATCCAGCTGAAAAAGAAGGCAAGGGTGTGGCCCTAAAGTCTGTAACATCTTTCTTCACGTGGCTAGAAGAAGCTGAACAGGAATCAGGAGCCTCTGGCACAGATTCTTGAAGTTATAGATAAGCTTATGAAACAATGAATAAAACTTTTTTGTCCTTTAGGGATTGCGGTTTGTAAGAAGAAAAAAAATGTGTGGGGGGGAACAATCAACAGTTACTGGACATATCTGAGACAACAAGTAATGTTACTAAATGGAAAATATTTGTTTTTATTCTAAAAACAGTTTGTGAAACTGTATTCATGAAACCACATTGTTTTGTGGTCAGTAGGTAGTTACCATGTGTTATTGAAATGTCCTGCTTATTTTTGTATCATCTTGATTTTTTTTTTTCAG